GTGGCTTTCAGGAAAAGTCTGAAAGGGCCAGCCGTGGAAGGACACATGATCCTGCAGAAGCTCTCCTGTTACCCTCTGAAGGTTTATAAATAGCTTTGACCCAGTAAAGTGTTTTTGTAGCGGTCTATAGCTTGCTTTCACAGCGCTGTGAGATTTCCTCACGGGTTCACATTCAGCGTCTACAGCTAAACACACCGAGCTGGTGTAAACTTGTTCTGATGATTCAAATATTAACCCAAAGAGAAAAAAAATCTTTTCCACTTTATACGTGTAAGCTTCATGTTGGACCAGGTACCACCTGTCCTTCTGCAGCTGGTATAAATTCAGCATAAAAACATAAAGCTAACCTCAACTTCATTGCATGTACCAGATAATGTAAAAAATGTGATGGTGTGCAATGCTTTATCGGTATTAAATCTCTATTGGGATGTGATCTGATGTGATGATGCACTACTCTGCTGTCAATCTGCCTTAACTGTCTCACACAGTGGCAAACGGCAGACATAGGCAGTGCCTGCTCCATATCCTAGGGAAGAAGAGGTGGTGGGTTCCTGGCTCCCCTGCTTTTTCCTGAGCCACAGCCATTAGCACAACCCTGAATAACAGACTCACCCGAACGAAGAGCTAAGGTCTGCAACTTCAGTGATGAGCTACAGATCCCCCTGTTACCATAAGGTACCTCCGGGACTAGCTGAATATTGCTGCTGAGCTATAATTAATAGGATGCTCATTATTACGTTTGGCTAGGAAAGACAAGCGTGAGGAACTGTATCCAAGGGGTTCTAGCAGGAGCCAGCTGAAAGGCGGCCAGTTAGGCAATGAGGATCCATTCGGACTGTGGAAGAGTAGCCCTCAGTCAGGCTCCCTAACTCTACTTACTGCTGAGTAACACAGCCCTGCGGCAGCACATTTCTCTCTGAATTACGGTCTAGTGGAAAAAGGGTGCTACAGCTAAATATGTTTCTGGTTGGTGGGCAAGGACTCTCAGCCTGACACTAACATATGAGAAATCCATATATTTGGATTTAAGCAATCTGAAGTTTAGCTTTCCTGAAAAGTGGAAAACTGGACCAACCCAGTGACAAACTTATTTCTGAATGCCTGTTATTCTGTTATTTTAGGTCAATTTTATTTTTCTTACTCCAAATATTTTGAAGAAAGGCAATTGGTACTCAAAGATTAAATTATCTATTTAATTTTTGCCACCTCCTTGAGACTTTTGCAAAGCAGCTCTTGAGCCCTCGTTGCTGCTACCTTTAAGAGAGCTACACTTAGTCTAGCAGTAAGAGAAATACGTTAGTTCACAGAGCCTTGGAAAAAAGGACAGAGAATGCATAGGCAAGTAAGGGTACAGAAAAGGAGAAAGTCAAGAAAGGTAGAGCAGATTAACCTGGAGAACCATAGTGAAAGTAATAACAAATATATTCACCAGTAGCAAAGAGGATGCTAGATACATCTCTGCTTCCATTCACAGAACTGTTGCAGAACGGGGCAAGTGCTGAGTGTTTGGCTGTATGGCTTATACAAGCAGCTTCACTGTGGATCTGAGGGGCAAGAGTTTTTGCAGAGGGTCTTCAGCAACAGCAGGTGGAGTCTCTGAGTTGCAGCCTCTCTTTTTTCCTCTCTCTCTCTCTCTCCTCCTTTTTTTTCCTGTTCGGTCTTCCCCCCTGGTTTAAAGCTGTCTGTAGGGTGAAACTGCATAAACTTCTTGTATCCAGAGCATCCTCCAGCAACTTATTCCAGAGGTCTACTACCAGCTGGTGAAGAACCACCTCCTTTTGCATGTTTTGAACTTGGACTTCATCAGTTTCATTTGATGACATCTAATTTATGTATTTGAAAGAGACAGTAAAGAGTTAATCCCTATTGACTATTTTCCACAAGCAGTACCAGCTAGTAAAGGTGGCTGGCTGGGACTTTATTGCAGCTTTCATTTAGTCTTCTGCTGCCACATGCCCTTTCCGCCTCCAAATAGTGACTGTATTTACCTAGTTACCTTGATGAATTAACTAGAGGGATGTCAGCATGCTCGTGTGGCTTTCAGCAGCCTAGAGTCGCAAGGAAGGTAGGGGTGTGGACATCAGTGGGCTAGTCAGCAGCAAGAATATTAACAAGTCCCAGGTGGTCTTCAAACAGCCTCAAGCCAAAGGGAGAAATACTCCTTCCTGTTAACAAAGAACTCGGAGAAACTGGGTAGGAAACAGATGTGCCTGCTCATGACCCTCATGTGGGAAGCCCATGTGAGTAAAAGAGTGCATGACCTTTATGTCGGTAACACCCTTGGGTAACACAGGAACCTTTTAAAGAGTGATTGTTGTCTCCTGGATCCCCTCCCGACTTTTGCTTCTCTTATCCCAGTGGTCCGAAAGTGAGATGCAGAGAGGAGATTACTGCCTTGCAGTAACAAGGCCAATGCTTTTTAGGCTGCATTTTCACACTGCTAAAATGAACAGCTCTTCCTTAATGGGGTGCTCCTGCCCCTTCCCCTCCTCTCTGTCCAGCGCTAACTCTTGTTTTTATCCCTCTGCAAGCTGGTTTTCAGGGAGTCAAACCAGCAGAAATCTGCTTGCTGCTTTTTCCAGGGCTAGTTTTTGCCGGTTTAGCTTTGTGAACCAGCTCACTCTGCAGTCAGAAGAGTCCCAGTGTTGACAGGAACAGGACTGCCTGTTCCCACGGCACCTGTTAGAGCACTGTAACTCATTATGAAATTAGCAGTGTTAGGCGGCACATCTGAATCTATCTTCCTCAGCAGGTGAAGGTTATGATCCACAGGGATAATCATAAGTGTTGTCTTTCATTGCTCAAAGTCCTCTCTCTGCTGCAGATTCTCCCATGCATGCATCATCCTTGCTTTTCTCACAGACCCGGATGCTGCGCAGAATGGAAGTACGTGTCTTTGTAATCCAAGAGAAAAGCAGGCGTTGCTGCCAGTTGCCCTTGCTAAACCTTTAGCTACGCTGTAGCCTTTCTCATCATTGCCTGCACATAGCAGAAATAACTTTCCAAGTTAGGGGACTCTGCATACTGTTGCAGTTTGAGAAGTGTGTGTGTGGGCAGTCATATAAAGCTCTGATGTCAGTGGCATCATGTGCAGTATTGTTCCAGGGAAATCTACTCCACGTCAGTGACTAAGCATGAAAAACAGAAGTTCGTCCCCATAGAGCTGATTAATAACAGACAGCGGGTGTAACAAAAATGGCATTTCTCAGTCCACAAGGGGAATGAGTAGGGGGTAGGACTGGAGGCAGCATGGGACTCCAGGTGACAAGTCAGGGAAATGCTGTCAAAAGGGTCATACTGTCTTCAGGTCAACCTGATGTAGCTATAATTGTTGGCTAATTCTTTGTGTAAAGCCAACTGATCCAGCAGTGCACAAATCCGGCAATACGACAGTCACAGAGCTGCAACCTCCATCTGTAGTAGAAAACTGGTGGGTGTATCTTCAAGTTCCAGGTGTCTTCTGCATTTCAAATGCCCCTTGGGATAATCTGCTGCCTTTACTGCAATCATCTTGAAGCCAAGCTATGATAAATTCTGTAGTTATGTGAAACAGAAACGAAGCTCAGCTCTCTACCTTGTCATTACACACTTGATTCCAAATGAGGATGCAAATAGATCAGGTGTTCCTTACATATTTTTCTCCTCTCATTCTTCGCTCATCATGGCCAAGAGAGAGACGCCTGTTCCTGCAAGACCTTGCCCACCCCTGTGCCTGCCTGGCACACAAGCGCAGCACAGTTTTTAGTCTGTTATGTTGTGTTTAACCCATCAGCTCAGCTTTAACGATAGCCCTGTGCTACGCAACACTGAAAATCCAGGTTTGTTTACCGCCTTCCCAACATGGCTTCCAGATGAAGTAACACACTGCGCTTTCCACGCTCTGGACCAGCATTAACGCCACTGCCAGTTTTCTTCCCAGACAGGCAGCTTTAGCGTACCGCCACGGGTTACCTAACCCAGGGCGGCTGCGCTGACGAGCAAAGGCGAGTACGCCAGCGGCCATCCTCCCTCCGCGCACCGAGGAGGGTCTCGGGAAGGCCCCCTCACAGGGGGCAGGTAGCAAGGGGCGGGGGGGCGTCCGCGCTCCTCCGCAGGCAGGGCTGGGCCCCGCGCCACCGGCCCTACGGGAGGGCTACG